CAATTTCAAAACTGTCTTGCTCTGTGATTCCTTTTGCCCTTCTTATTCTCTTCCATGAGTTTTTAAATGCCTAGGCAATCCTTTTATCTTTCTTTTTTTTTTAAATCAACCCTGTCCCAAAGTGCTTTTCTCCCATTTCTGTTCCTGGCCCCTGCCAAATTGGCACTTTTCATGCATTGCAGACAGATGCTGTCTAGTGGACAGATGGACAAAATTATGGATTCTTTAAGAATCTGGATCTTTAAGAATTAGGTCTCATATTTAAGAAACACAATGATATTTAGCAACAAATAAATGATTCTGGTTTTAAAAAATCATTAAATGATTTTTAAATAATCGTAATTGTTTTTTAGAATTCCATAAGGTAGAAATGGATATTTATAACTTTCTATCACATGCACATGGTCATATGTCCACGTATACATGACACAGGGGAGAGAATACTAAATGAGAGCACTAAATCTGCCTCTGAAATTAGCTATGTGACCACAGTCCAGTAATTTAGTTTCTGTGAAGCTCAGTTTTCCCATCTTTAAAATGCAAGAACTAGATCTCCAAGGACGTTAAATTCCATTTACTTAAAATCAACAGGCCACCCTGGCGATCCATTCTGCATTCTTCCCTCCCTCTTTGAGGAAGCTGACACTGGGTCCTTCTGAAGCAAAAGAAATTTTGGTTTTGTATCAAAGAAATGGGAGATTCCAATGATCAGTGTCTAAATGATTTCTTCTCAGCCAATGCCAAGCTAGAAAGCAAGCCCATGTGGGTGGGGAGCCTCACCTCCATCTCTGTCCATCCTCACTAGCTGAGTTAGGTCAACTGAGTTGAGTCAGTTAGTGAGTCAATATCGTTTGAAGTCACAGTCCTACATGACTTCCTCAGAATCCACAACCAAGTGACATTTTCCTAGACAAAGAGGGATATCTAAACAAGAAAGTCTGTTCTCCAGAAACACAGTCATTCTTTGACCTTATAACCTGAAAAACACTGCTGCGGTAGTAGGGGAGCTGATGGATGGGAATTCCGGTTGTTCGGCCAATGTCCGACTCTTTGTGAATCCAGCTTTGTTACTCAGTTACTGTCTGAAACCAGATTTGAACTCAAAAAGATGAGTCTTCCTGACTCCAAACCCAGTACTCTGTGTACTGCCCCACCTACTGCTCCTAGCTGGATGGATCTTACCTGGGGTATAACACCCTATTCTTCTAGTGAACCAGGTTCTAAGATTAGTCAGCCTCAGTCAGGGGATGTCAATGTTTAAGATTATTGTCTATTTCAATATTCTCAGAATTTGTGTGTGTGTGTGTGTGTGTGTGTGTGTGTGTCCCACAAAAGTCTAGCCCTTGTACCAGGCACCTGTCTAGAGACCTCTTTAAGTGCTACTTCTTCCTCTCACAGCCTTCTGGAGACTGGGGGAACACACAGTCACATCCCTTCAAGCATGCAGAGTAACAAATAATTTTCTTCAATGGCCATTCCTGCTGCTCATTAGGCCATGAAAGGTAGGCCCAAAACAAAGAGCTACTGAATCACACCCACATCTTATCTCAATCTAGGAAACCTAAGAAGCACAATGTCTCCCCAAACTTGGTGCTGCATTTGTCAACCATAGTCCAAGTATGGGAACAAGCTCTGCATCACAAAGAATGAAAGGGTGTGTGTGTGTGTGTGTGTGTGTGTGTGTGAGAGAGAGTGAGTGTGAGAGAGAGAGAGAGAGAGAGAGAGAGAGAGAGAGAGAGAGAGAGAGAGAGAGAGAGAGTGGGGAAGTGAGAAGGGAAGAGACCTTGTTGTTGGGGGGGGCAGGCAGGAGGACAGGAGACACTCTTCAGCCTCTTCTAATAAACCATATAGCTTTCTTACCTGGGCTAACAGAGGAGAAATCCAAGCTATATTTTTATAACCAATTCATAAAGCACTAATTCCTCAATCTACTATCCTGATTGCCACTGCTTTCCTCAAGGCTGCCAAAAGCTCCTTTTTGTCTGAACTCTTGAAATAGCAATGGATTGTCAGTTCCTTGAGGGCACAGGATATGTTCTGTTTATGCCCTCGACCATATCAGGTGCTGGACAAATGGCTTCTGAATAAAGTCTGAAGTATTTTATGATAAGTTTTCCAAGCACCCAATATCATTTTATGTTGCTAGGTACAAGAAGCTTGTTAGACTCTGAGGACTTTGGAATAGCTATGAATATTTTTAAAAATCCATGTGCCTGACACATGGCAGAGACTTAGACTGGTAATTGATGAAAACATGTTAGGTATCAAAATTTCTTCTGAAGATTAAAAAAAATTGTCAATCAAAACCAAATGATCTAGTCTCTAATTACTTACAAATTTTATGTGGCCATAAATTGAGACTGCCCATTCTTTTTCTCTTTGTTTCTTCCACCACTCCCCTCTCTCCATGGCCTCACCCCCGAGCATTTCCAATCTCATTATCCTCTCTGCTAAAATTGCTCTATGCAGTTTCCCTCTTGGAATCAACAGAAACACATGTCACTGAGACTTAGGGAATTCTAACCAACCACAGGCTATACAACTGGGTCATAAAGTTGCAGAACCTAAAACTAAAGGTTAATTTGTTTTTAAAATCATCCCTTTATTCAAAAGGTAAAGGTTGGAGGGGGGAGGGGGTTGGAGGGAAGGAAACCATTCTAACAACCTATCAAGCTGGCTGAATCAGATGACGGTAACAACGCTGAGCTAATTCTGCTGATTGAGGGTTTAAGGGAAATTATCTTCCCACTCAAAATATGAACGAGCTTTTGTTATCCTTGGAAGTGAACTTGAGGACCCCAACGTCACTTTATAAACTCCAAGGCAAAGAGTAAGCCTTATTTATTCCATCTTTTATTCTAAGAAGGGCAATTCAATTTTTATTCGATTTATTGCCTCTGCCATATTTTCTAAGATAATGCCTAACCCAAAAGAGTTATGTTGATTTAGCAGAGACCAAATAACAGTCAAGACATTTAAAACCGGACCCCTCAGGCTGTTGACACACACATCTCATGAAACGTGTATACAGTCACCAAATGCCAGGCTATGAGCAAAGAAAGGGCAACAATACCTTGTCAAGACGAGGACAATTCCTAGCCTAAGAAGAGGCCAGAGGGCTCAGACCAAGTGTTCACTTTCTGGCTCTTCTGACACGGTTAACAGGCTCTACAGGACAACAAAGCTAATTCGGGAAAGGAGGCAGAACTGCCACTGGAAAAGCCATCATGGCCCCTTCATAAGCTTTGGTCCCCTTCAGTCCGCCGGCTTTGCGTTCTTCCTCATTTGTTTACTTTAGAAGGCACCCCAGGCTCATAAACTCACCACGTGAATGAAAAAGCTGGAGAGGCAGACGGACAGATCCCAAGCATCTCCTTCACCGGCCAGAGGAGAAGGAAGGAATATCTGAACACTTCCCCAGACGCCCTTGGGAGAGCCTCAGGCTGGTGTGAGAGGGTGCATAAGTTAACTCCAACTTGTCTTCCCGGTTAAAAGTGGGGGGGTGGGAGGGAGGGAGAAGAGAGAGGAGCAGACGGAGATGGAGGGAGAGAAGAGAAGAGCGCTCATCCCATTGCCAGGAGTGACTTCTCAGATCAGTTTCAGCCTGAGCAAAACCTCTGATTGCAAAACCTCTGACTGCTGGCCCGCAGCATCCTAGAAGATTTAAATCTTCGATGATTAAGACCAACTGAAAAAAGTTAAATTAAATTCAGTCTCCTTGCGTCCAAGTGACAGCACAGATGAAATTACTTTGCTTTTACTTTGCGAGTACATGTCTTTCTTTATCTACTTGCCCTTTACATTTCTGCCCCACCCCCAAGCTCCTGTACAAGTGCTTGGCACACAGTTGGCGCTTAATACATGTTTGCTGAATTGAATGGAGGGGGAAGAGAGAAGGGGGAAGGGGGAACAGCCACCTGAGGTTAATACTGTGGTTGGCACCGAGGATTCTAGGCTGAGGACTAAAATACATGCTCTCGGAAGCGCTAGGGCAAAGACTCCCCAGGGATGCCCCGATTTAGGCAGGCTCCGGCTTTTGATTACTACCTCGCACTTCTCCCCCCCCTTACCTTCCCTCCCCTCCTCTCCCCAGCCAAGGACCCTGAACGCCGCCGCGTCAGTCCGCCTAGTTTGCCTCCTGGGAAAGAGGGAATCTCTTCACGCTAGGGTGAATCAGCCCATCCTCTCCCAGACGCAGCTCGGAGGGGGCTTACCCCGCGGCAAGAGGAGGAGGAGGAGGAGTCCCGTGAAACTCTCGGTGGGTAACACACGCTCCCCTTCCTAGAGGAAGGGACAGCTCTCCCCGCCCCCAGGCGTCTGGGTCATTTCAGGCAGACCCAGAAAGACTCACAGTTGGGGGAACCGTGTATCCTGGGGGTGGGGGGAAGCAGGACATCCCGAGTCGTCGAGCACTTTATTCCCCAGCAGTCACCTAAGGAAACATCATTCAGCCCACTCAGCGTCCCCCTCTTACTTACACACACACACACACACACACACACAGTACTAAGGAGATCGTCCTCCTGCACCCACGTGCGTGCACCACCGCATCCCCCGCCTTGGCACGAGAGGCATTGCCTCCATCCACATCCCAGGACGCCCCGAGCGAAGGCTCCAATGCCAGGGAAGTGGGTGGCGTATTATTTTGGGGACGACTGAGCGGAGGCTCCATACTCCGGATGGGTATGTCCGGGGCCACCGAGCGGGGGCTCCATCCTCAGGGGGGTAGAAGTGGGGGGGGCTTTACAGCCCGACCAAAGGGAGATCCCTCGCTACTCAGCCGAGGCTCTGCGGCCAGACTTCGAGCTGGCTACCTGGACATCCTGGCAACCATTAACCCAACAATCCAACTCGCCCGCTTAGAGCGAACGCCTGCCGGATCTGCTCCAGGCGAGGGGCACGCATACAAAGACAAGAAAAGGGGTTTCCAAAGCAGCATGCCTGTCCTCCAGAAGACCACAAGCAAGTCCCCGGCCGTCTGCCAACCCTTTAGCCCTTACCTCCTGCAGCCCGGGACAATTGGGGGGTGGGGGGGAGGCCGAGGCTCCCGAGCGAGACCCTTCCACTAAGCTGGTGGATCGTCCTCCTCCTCCTGCCGTCCTCTGCAACACTTGCAAGACCACTTTTTTCCCTGGGGAAAAAAAAAAGAGGGGAGCAGCCCGGGGAGAGAGAGGGCCTTCTGTCCTCCGCAAGCGGGTCCCTGGGATGGGCAGCGGTGGGGAGCAGTGGGGGACGCTGCTGCCTCTGCCCCGGCTGCAGCCACAAGCTTCTTTACCATTCAAACCTCTGGCCGCCCTGGCTCCTGCACCCCGCCCCCCCACCTCGTTGCCCCGAAGCTCCCGAGGAAACCAGGAACTGGAGCCCAGGAGAATGGAACGGAGCTCCGGGAGCAGGAGGCAGAGGGCAAAGGGCTGGAGACAGGGGGCGCTGCGGGACGGAGGAGAAGAGGACGCAGGACGGGAAAGGAGGGCAGATTCTCCTAGAGTCCCAATTCTATTCCAACATTCCCACCACCACACACACCCAGTCCCTGCTCTTAGTTACCTACCCCCGGGTCTGGAAAGTGAAAATTGTTTTCTCTAGAGCAATCTTTTTTGTTTTAAATCCCCCTCGAACACAGGACCTCTGTTTCGCCCTCCAAACCCCAGATGGGGAAGAAGCACCGAGAAGGTAAATATAACCTAGCAGATGTGGGCGAGCAAGGAACCAGCACCTGCCCAAAAGAAGGGTATAAGCGGCAGAGCATGTAGGAAGATTCCCCCTGACTAATCAGTCCCGGCCCAGTCCAGTCTAGCCTTCTCCACCTCATCCTGTTTCATCCCATCCATCCCATCCCATCCATCTCCTATCCCATCCCAAGACTTTGTGGAGATGCAAGAGGCAAAAGTAGGGTTTGCAGGGCAATTAGTCAGAGTGGGTAGGGTTTTTTTTTTCTAACTGTCCCTAAAGCCAAGCCATGCAGTTCTAAGATGTGCCCTTTCTGGGGTTGTTCAGAATGCTCTCAAGGGATGAGAAGAGGAAGAAAGAAGAATGGTTTCCCTCCAGTGCATTTTTGCAAGAATCTTTTCCCTATCTGTGTAACTGGAATGTGCATTTGCCACTATGTCACCAGCAGCACTACCACCACCCCTGTTTCTCCTAACTACTACTTAAACTCTAATAAATTGTTTAAAGGAACAGGGGACCCTCCACATTCCTTGTAACTTAATGATTTCTGCAAAATGAAGATGCTGCAACCAGAAACTCCTCCCCTCTAAAACCCTGTCATTTACTACCTTGTAAAAAGCAACTTTTGCCTAAGTGAGAGGGAAAGTCTCCTAGTCAGAAATGTGATAACTGAAGCTAGCATGGCAATTTAAAACTTGCAATGCTGTTTTCTCTACATGACTTCCTCTGAACCTCCTGCCCACCTAGTGAGGCAGGCTCACAGTGTTAAGAGACTGAACTGGAAGAGATCCCAGAGGTCAGCTAGCCTATCATTTGAATGATAGGTATCTCGGCCCCAAAGGGGATATATGACATCCAAAGTCACACAGATAGTTTTGGTGGTCAAGTTTGAACCTAGCTCTGGCTGACTCCAGAACCAGGGTTCTTCATCACCCCTATGCTGCCTCTCCACCCCCATTATCTAGATGGGGAAACCAAGGAAGACTCCGTCGGGGCTCTTATTCCTTCCCATTCTGTATGAGTTGATGAGACAGGAAAGGGTGGGTTTCCAAAGCGATTAGTTAGAGAGTAAGTCAGCCACTGTCACACAGCTCATGAGTGTCCCACGGAAGATTTTAACCGTGCTTCTTCCTCTTCCTCCAAAACCTTTGCTCTTTCCAACGTATTGGGCTACTTCTCAATCCCCATCCTACAGACTGAGGAGACTCAGAGAAGTTAAGAAAGTAAGCCGACGGCCCACAGCTAGTGAGCTCACGAGGCAAGATTTGGCCTCAAATGCTTCAGACTCTCAAGGCCTGCACATCTACCATTCCCAGCTTTCACACTATCCCATATCCAGCAAGGAAAAAAGATTGGGGCGGCGAATGTGGCCGTTTGAAAGCGAAGTGGGCATCCACGGTCTCTCGAGAAAGCAGTCTGGGGGTGGCCGCCTCAGACACATCGAAAGCCTAGTGTGAGGTCACTAAGGAAATGGCTGGCGATCCGGACTTTATAGTTCCAGGGTTTGCATTTACCAGCGTCTATTCAACCTGCTCTATTGTTAGTTCAAAGTCTGGCTGCCTCCGACTCCACTCCTCACTCACCTTCAGTTTAAAATTCTCCTCCAATAGGAAGTCTCCAGGAAAACTTGGAGCGTGGGGTTGGCATGGTTATCCACTTCTAGATTTGGATTTTTTTTTCTAGGCTAAAAGGCAACACGCACTCAAATCAATTTCCTTTTCATTTTTTCTACTTGCTTCGCTAGTTACCAAGGGAGGGCGGGGCTCCTTGACAGACAGTTTGGGGGGGGAGGTGGAGAGAAGTAGATGGGGCGGACCACGACCTCTTAGAGCAAGATCTAGGATTTCACCTTTTCATCCCACTTAGTGGATACCATAGAAACAGCCCATTTGTATTATTCAATTCAACAGAGGCAATTACAATGTCTCAGCAAAGCATCATGGGCCGGCAGAAACTTTATCCTGAAAGTAATCCCGAACTCGCAGTTTTGCAAAGCCTGTTGTCTGTGTGGGTAGGGGCGGGGGGACCTCCCTCCAGGAATGGCTATTTTGAATTTGCGATCTTGAGCCCCAAAAGAAATTAGTTTGGAGAGAAGGGGGAAAGCACTTTCCATTCAGCGTAAACGGTTATTCCCAGCTTTCTTTTTCTTACCTGCCCACACACAACAGCCATCTGGAAGCAAGACAGTCAAAGAAACTGCTTTCCCTCAGGCTGGTTGACTTTTCTAAGAATGCAGTTTTCAGGTAGCTTGCTTTACTAGCAGAAATTGCTTTGAAGAATTTCCTCAGGTTACAAGGAGTATATATAGATACGGCACAGGTGTGAGTTGAATATGACCGGATGATATCTAAAAAATAAAATTAAGCAGTGAGAAAGAGGAAATCACTGGGAGAAAGGGAAAGGAAAAGGTAAAATGGGGCAAATTGTCTCACATAAAAGGCGAGAAAAAGATTTTACAGCAGAGGGAAAGATGGGGAGGTGATAGGGAGTGAGTGAACCTGACTTAGAATTGGTTCCAAGGGGTAATAACACACACACTCCATTGGGTATAGAAATCTCTTACCCTACAGGAAAGTAGGAGGGGAAGAGGATAAGAGAAAGGGGGAGGGGCTGATAGAAGGGAGGATAGATTGGGGGAGAGGTAGTCAGAAGCAAAACACTTTTGAGGAGGGACAGAATGAAAGGAGAAAGAATAGAATAAACGGGGGTGGGGCATAGGATAGAGGGATATAAAGTTAGCAATAGTAACTGAAAAAAAAATTTAGGAGCAAGTTTCTCTGATAAAGACCTCGGTTCTCAAACATAGAGAGAACTGAGGCAAATTAATAAAAATAAAAGCCATTCCCCAATTGAAAAATGACCAAAAGATATGAACAGTTTTCAGATGAAACAAAGCTATCCATAGTCATATGAAAAAATGCTCTAAATCACTACTGATTGGAGAAATGCAAATTAAAACAATTCCAAGGTGCTACCTCATACCTATTAGATTGGCTAATAGGACAGAAAAGGAAAATGACAAATATTGGAGTGGAAAAAATGAGACATTAATGCATTGTTGGTGGAGTTGTGAACTGATTTAACTATTCTGTAGAGCACTTTGGAACTATGCCCAAAGGGCTATAAAACCATGCATACCCTTTGACCTAGCAATACCACTACTAGGTCTGTATTCCATAAGAGACTTTTTTTTAAAAAAAAGAGAAAAGGACCTATGTATACAAAAATATAACATCTTTTCTGGTGGCAAAGAATTGGAAATTGAGGGGATACCCATCAATTGGGGAACAGCTGAACAAATTGTGGCATGTAATAGTGATGGAATATTATTGTGCTATGAGAAATGATGAGAAGGATGCTTTCAGAAAAACCTGAAAAAACTTATAGAAGCTGATACAAAGTGACATATACTGTATACAAACAATAATATCAATAATATTGTAAGATGATTAGCTGTGAATAATTTAGTTATTCTCAGCAAAACAATGATCCAAGACATTTCTGAAGGACTTATGATGAAAAATACTATCCATTCCCAGAGAAAGAACTGATGGTGTCTGACTACAGATTGAAGCATACTTTTTTAACTTTATTTTTCTTGATTTTTTGTCTGTTTTCTTTCACAACATGACTAATATGGAAATATGTTTTGTGTGACTACACATGTATAACCTATATTGAATTGCTTGCCTTCTCTACAAGTCAAGTGGGGAGGCAGGAAGGAAGAGAATTTGGAACTCAAAGTTTCAAAAATGAATGTTAACTGTTTTACATATAACTGGGGAAAAATAAAATACTAAACGGGGGGGGGAAGAATCTGATAGGACAGAGATGACTGGAAAAGAAATGGATACTGAGAGAATTCATCTACTCAACCCCTCTTTGAATCTCGGGCTTTCCAGCTTGAGCGTTGCTAGTTCATACAGAAGAACATGTGGAAATGATCAATGATATCATAGGACCAACTACTTGATATGGGCACACATTTCATTGCTTGGTTAGGGGGTTGTTTTGTTTTTAGGGGTCAGGTAGCTTAAATTCAACATGGTGGATTTAGCTCTCCAAGGGCAGATGCTGAATTACCTTTTCTATACCTTTATATCATGGAATCATAGACCTAGAGGTGGAAGGAGCCTAGTACAATTTCTTCATTTTACATATGAAGCAAATGTAATCTAGGGAGGTTAAGGGACTTTTCTGAGGTCACTCAAAAAACATCAGAAGTCTGATTTGAATCCAGAGCCAACATTCCAGCTACTGCTTCATGCCTGCCTCACTTCTCTAAGGCTTCGCCCAGGGCCTTGTGCCTAATAGGCATTTATTGAATAAATGCTTGTTATAAATTGTTGTCAAATTCTATTTTTAGAAACTTAATGTAAATTCTTTCTCTCTATTTTCTTGCCATCGGTCTTGCCACTTTTGGGGAAAAAAACATTGCTTACAAAAAAGAAACTAAATGTCTGGCCTTGAGGCCATCCCTTCTCCTCTCTTGGATTCAGTTTCCTCATTTGTAAAATGAAGGTTTGGATTCTGGAAAAGAATTTGGAGCTACACTCAAAAGGTACACTGTACGTACGCTTGGACCCAATAAGCCTCCTCATCATTATCCTCATCAACATCATAAAGCATTGTAAAGTTTGTAGAACACTTTACATCCATTATTATCTCATCT